GACATATTGGCATTATTGCTGTTTTGTAAGGAATGTTTATATTCAGCTAAAATAATCATCTGCAAGACAAATCACTTCAATTGTTTGTTCTAAAAAATAGAGAAATTATAGCTTGTTTTTTTATGCACTTTTTAAGGTTGACACAGACTGAGGCAAATGAATATTGCTGACCATAAGGATGTATTTTGAATTTTCTAAAGTGGGTGATCCATTTAGGGCAGGGTAATATTCAACAATATTTAATATTTCAATAAAACAGATACAAAATACAACTCATAAGATAGTTAATATCTATGTATACCAAATTTCATTTTACAAGTTTCAAAATACCACTTTTAACATATTTTCATGTATATTACAATGAGCCTGGGATTGCCTTTTAAGTATTTATAGTGTAACTAACACTGCTTAAAAAAAAGTTCTACATAACTGCATCAATCTTATATATATATATATATATATATATATATATATATATATATATTTTAAAATGGATTTTTTTTAATCTGACATTATTTCTTATTACTATAAAGATTATTTTTAAAGGGTACAACCGAGTTGTTATTCTAGTTTCTTTTTAAAAAAATTTTTTAAACAGTTAATAACAAGTCAATCTAAGGTAAATTGTTGCCATTTGATATTTTTAATTTTACATATGCATGTTGTTTGTTTTTGATTTTGTTAACTGCACAGTATAGTAGGGTCAGTTGGGCACCGTCTGTGAAAAAATGAGCACCATGACACAATTCACTCCACCAGAAATTTGGAAATGTCATGCAGGTACTGCTTGGCATTCATGCCAGAAGCTCCAATATGAACATTTCAGAGTGTTTGGGTGTCAATCTGAGGACAGTGCAGAGGATTCGGAAAAAGTTGGATGAGTCTAATGGTGATTACGATGATGTTTGGAGTGATCACTAGTAATGGTAACATTATGCCTCTATTCATCTTCTCACAGGGCCTCAGATTCAGCATGGAGGCCTACATTAAGTGCCTTGAGGAGGTAGTGATGCCCTGAGTCAAGAGGGTGGCTTGCTGAAAGACTATGGCTGACAACAGGACTCTGCACTATGCCACACAAGCAAGAGAACCCAGTCATGTTATGGCTGTCAGACAATTTCTATAACCACATCACCCTTTACATCAGGCTACCTAACTCTCCAGGCTGCAACCCCCTTGATTATTATGTGTAGGATGCAATTGAGCAAGAGACTAACAAAACTCTTTATAACACCAAAGATGAAGGCAAAGATTATGGCAGCATTCATCAACTTAAACAAAGAGAGCATCCAGAAGAGTTGCAGGAGATTCCAAAGTTTTCTGGGGGTTATGGTTGAAGCCAATGGTGATTTTATTAAATAAACTTACTCTTTAATATTTCATGATATTTTTGTATCATTTTTTACAAAACTAGAGACAACAAGCACATGATTTCCATGTCCAAGTTAAGTCTTTGTTATTTGATATTTTAAACTGGATGCTAAAATTCCTGAATCTTTTAGAAGGAATGGATAATCCTTCCCCTTTTACCTTCCTCAGGGGAATTTAAATCAGTCATTATTGGACCCTCTAAAAAGAAAACCAAAAAAGACAGACTTCATAAATCCCTTTAAATGAAAACTGTACTGCTAATCTTCTTTAGGAATGCTAAACCAAAATTTCATATTTTCAAATTTCATGACTAAATCAAGTCTTAACAACAGTTATCAAGATAATACTTTTGTTGATTATTCAAAAGCCTATGTTAAATATTCTTCCCAATTTGCAGATCAAAATATATGAATACAACAGTTATAACAATTGAAATTTAATCAATAACTCAGAGTTTCTTTTTATGGTAACACCTTTTCTGTAGTTAACATTATTGCAGTTGAAAGAAATTTAGTTAAATTCTTAAGGCTCCACAGTATTCTACAAACATCATTATTGCACTCACAAAAAATATCTATATTAGTCATATCATAAACATTAGTCACATACAATAAACAAGAAACATTTTTTTTAATATTAGCTGTTTAATTTGATTTTTAAAAATAAAACCATTTTTAAAAAAAAATTTTTATCCTATAAAAAACCAGAAAGAACACTCAAGACTATAACAAGAAAACCCCACAGACGTGATGTTGCAACAATGACCCACAGTACCAATGGAGGGTTAATATTAAATAACTGGATACTTTTTGTATAGATTTCATAAAGTATAAATTTCAAAATATTTTTATAATTTTTTAAAAAGTCTGGTTGTCTGAACAAAGTCAATCAATGTCTTCCATTTTCCAAATTGAAAAATTAGAAATTTTGACCTTTTAATTCAATTTTCCAAAATAAAACCTTGTTATTTATCCTATAAAAACCAGAAAGAACATTCAAGACCTAAGATATGTCTGTATTATTTTAAATGGGGTGTTTGGAAACATCAAAGTAGTGATGTTGTAACAATGCCCCACAGTATTAATGGTGGGGAGGGGTAAGCAGCTTTGTTTGCAGACCATTCCAAGTGCAAAGAATTCAGTCCTCACTTAGTGCCATATTGTTTGATTTCAGCTAAATCTACTTATAATAAATTTTGAAAGTGCATAAAATATTCTGTCAACTTGAATGATGTCTAAAAGCTTACAATCTCTCTTGTTAGCTGAGGTGAATTTAATATAAAAAATTCATTAACCAAGTCTACATTTGTAAAGAGAATTACAAGCTCATTTTTATTTGGTTCTAAATGTAGATTTACTTGGAATCTTTTTACATTTTAAAATATGTTCATTTAGAGTCTTGAAATTTTGTTTAAGAACTGCTCTACATGAAATTTACTGAAAAGACCAAGTCTAAAAGATCTTAGCCAGAAAATTGAGAGAAACAATTTTAACCTACATCCTCACATAAGATATAAGATGAACAGGTCTTTATACTTTTTCATCTATTCACACATATTTTTAACTCCTTAATGCTGTTTCATTTCTATAACTCATTAGTGCCCACCACTAATGGATTATAGGCAGAAACCTATAATTAATAGTAGGTCTTTAGGAAACCTATAATAGTGGATTTTTTAGAAATGTATAATTGATATGTCCCGGAAAGGGATATATTTGTTCGAAGTAGCAAAGTGGTTTTGACTACTGTAACCGGGTAGGACAATCTAGCAGGTAACCGTAATGACTGGTCCTTGTTGTAGTGGTAGCCAATAGGTGTAGTCAATAGGCATCATCCTTGTACCTCCACATCAGTCTGTATTTATGGCTGACACCAACCAATCATATTACTGTGAGGGGGAACCCAGGTGTATGCATATTCATTACATCAATAATTAATAATGGATTTTTTAGAAACCTATAATAGCAGATTTTGGGGGAAACCTATAATAGCAGATTTGTTTTTAGAAATATATAATTAATAGTGAATTTCTTTTGGAAACCTATAATACCAGATTTTTATTTTAATTTTTGTAATTAATATCAGATTTCTCCCCCCAAATAAAATCAAGCAAATAAAAAATGTTTAATTTTTTTTTTAAAGACATTGAAGGCATCTAAATTGAACCCCCCAATCCCAATAAAAAAAATAATTCAACTATTTTATTTTTGCTGCATTTTAACTCATTAATATCCACCATCTCATTTTTTGGGACAGTGATTATTAATGGATAACAGGGAGGAAACTATATTACTAGATTTTTTAGAAATCTATAATTAATAGTGGAATTTTATTTTATATCTGATTTTATGGATGAAACCCTTCTGCACAGGTTACTAAAATAATTGCTGATAATCATAGTTTTATGACATTATTTTTAGTTAAACTAAAATGGAGTGAATATTATGGTCTGTCAAATGAAAGCCTTATCTATTGTGATAAACAAGTCTTGTGCTGAGAAATCATTTTTTTCAAAACATCGTAAAAAAACTTTAATGTGTAATAATTTATTTTCTAAGAATTTTTTCTTTATCAATGAAAATCAAATACAAATTTCTAAGTAGAGAGCTGATAGGCAAAAGTTACTTATTTTGGTAAGTTGTTTGTGCTTAAATACTAAAGATGAATCCACCACCAGGTGTATGCAGACTTATTATGAAATCATTGGCAACCATATTTCTTGACTAGTATTTACATCATTAATTAGAATTTGTTAGATCACAGATGTGCATTAAATTTTAAAATTTTATATTTTAAATCAATAGACAAATTTTGGGTGGCAATGAAATCGTTAAAAGCTTGAGTTGAGATATTGTTTACAAATAGCCATCTTCCTTATTCTAGGGTAGGGCTTCTTAACCTGGAGTCTATGGACTTGTGGAGGGGTCCATGGATGGTTTTCAGGGAGTCCGTGAGGTTCAGATAAAATTAACATTTATATTCGCTATACAGTCCTTGTCCCAATCAACAGTTTCCAATTGAAGGAAATAAAAGAAAATGCACCCTGCCACTACTTACAGTGCTGACCATTAGGCATCTCTTGATTTGCTGTTGGTTCTATGTTTACCATTTAAACATGTGTCATATATTCTTTGCATGACCACCATCTTTTGCCACTCCATAAGGGTAGGTGATAATTCTCCTTTTCCATGGTTTGATTATCTTCTCATATACTGGTGGGGATTACTTGAACACAATTTCTTTAAAGTGTGACTGGCTGAAAAATGATGTGGATGCAGTGTGCATGAGGGTGCAATATGGAGAAATACTCGTTTGTTGTGAAAAATCAATCAGACTGAGTGTCTGCTAAACAACTGCATAACAACTAAATATTGATAAGTTTTTACTTATCAATATTTAGTTGTTATTATTTTGGATTACCTTCAAAAATCAGATGCAAAATAGTTTGGGAGGTACAAAATGTGTCTTCTTTGTGGTTATATATGCTAATTAAATTACAAGAATTATAGGTGAAATTATAGGTGAAAAAGAAAAAAACAACCAAAGTTCACTGTAATTTGAAACTGAAGGTAAAAAAAATGAAAATAAAAAAAATCACCGAGTAGAAATTGAAGACTTCCCTGAATTCATTATTCAACTTTGCAATATTCCGAACGTTGTTTTAAAGCCCTGGATGCCATCAGCTTAAAAAAGAGATTTGGAAAAACTGCACGCAAGAAAACAGCAATTTTGTGGTGTAGTGGAGTGAGGCAAATATCTTGCTGCTTGTACAACACTGTGTCTAAGATCTTCTTTGCTACATATTCGGGACTCATTCCTTGTTCTGTTGTTTTGTCCATCACTGTAAAAGAAAAAAAAAATCCAACATTTTGATGATTTAATGAAAACAAGTAATTGCATCCTATGGTAAATTGAACAAAAATTTATTACATAAAACTATGAGTATAAGAGCTTGCTATGGCAAACATATCTAAGCAGGTGAAAAGGAACTAAAGATTTTCTCTGCAAAAAAGAAGCTGTTCAATGAAGGAGGAATAAAACCACCTCTATTGCATTGCTGTGGAAATAGACATCAAAATTTTGAAAACAAACCTGTTTGACTGGTTGAGAAAAGGTTATCATTTTGAACTGTAGTTTCTATAAAAAAAAATTATGGTAGTGGGAGTATGTTTAAAACTGCCATTCATACAATTTTAAAATAAAAAAATTCTATTTTTCTTTAAATTTATATACAATAGATTATTTAACAAAATGTTTTACAAGCAAGATTCATTTTTGTATGAATGATGCTCTAGCATTCTCAGTGAACTATGATTTTATGAAATATTTTCTTTTTACCAAGCTTTCAATGTAGCCAGGTATTGAACTCACAACTCTTTTGGTCAAGTCACTGTATTCAACCAACACCTCAAGGACACGTAGTCCAAAGGGCTCTTCTTCCAAAGAGGAGAAGGGAGTTTTTTTCCCATTTAAGTAGATGCTGCAGTTGTAATATCTGTTCCATGCTGGAGACTTTCTCTCCTCCCTTGCTCATGATCACAACCACAAGTCCTGTAATCCATTAGGGTCATAGCTGCAGTACATGTGGGGTTTCTTGGGTAAGATAACCTGACAGAGATCAACCCTCTCTAGGCTGGTTTTGAATTCAAAGATTTTCTTTCTTCTAGACTGGTTGCCACTAAAGGTTATAGGATCCAGTCTGTCCTGCTATTTACTCATAGGTATTGAGAAGAGATGGATTTAAACAATGGTGGCATCTTAAATTTCCAGAAAAGCAATAAAATTCTATAAAAGCAGATAATCTTTAGGAACCTATTCTACTTATTTTCTTTTCCATCTGAGGATGGAAACAAATCACTTTATAATACAAAAAAGAATTAAACTATTTTGATAATTTAATAAAAAATCATTTATTTGTTAAGATATTTCCAGATTGAAATTCTATTCAGAAGTATGATGTTTTCTGATTCTAGTGTCATCAGCTGTGTTATGGTTTCTTCACCATATTTGAAGTGCATCACTGCAGTCCCAAAGATCCAATGGAAAAACCCATCAAATTTATGACTAGAAGATTTGACACATTTTTAACTTCAATATGATAGGGGGCAGGTGTCTATTCGAGTTTCACTAGGTGTGTGCACAAGCAATGTGTAACTAACATTTTACCTAGAGCATTGGCTATTAATATACAAGATTATTTTCGGATAATCCAACAACCAGTTTGCTAAGCTTTTATAATTTTAAGAATCGAACCAGTAGGATGCCACAACTGGATTTATACCTCTCTCAAGTGTATTAGCATGTAAGTGAATATAATGTACTTGACTGGAATTTGAACATGGCTCTCTGATTCCTCAATGTGAGCCACTATCCATTATTCCATCATGCCTCTAAATAATTCTATGAAGAGTTAAAAAAAAAAAAAAAAAAATTTGTGGGCTTTTAGTAGGAAAAAAAAAATCTATCCTCTTATAAATTAAAATACTTGCCAAAATTTTATTGGATTTGAGCCCAACTCTCTCAGTAAAAGAAAGAAGAAAATAAAGACAAATATATTGCTTACCATTGTATTGTGTTCCATCTGCTTTTAAAGCATTCAAAGAAAGGTTAGTTTTGATGTAACTTGGGCTTAGAACACTGACTGTGATGTTTTTATCACATACTTCTGCTCGAAGGCAATCAAAAAATGCCTGGAATGCATGTTTGGAAGCTGAATCTGAAACAACAACAATTATTAGAAAGGAAACAAAATTAGGATTTTGCTATTCAAAGTAGATTTTTAAAATTTAAAATGAATTCTTTTATAATATATCATAATGATAATAGATTAGCCATTTCTATAAAGGGAATATTTAGCATTCCTTAACTGAACAGTTAACTTTACTGGCAGCTAAAATTTATAAAATCTTTTACTTAAAAATGTTTTTCAGGAAATTAGGCTTCTCAAGTCGACTATTATCCCTTTTTCTAATTATTGATGGCAAGAATTATCTTTACATATCTTTGTATAAAATATTATCCCGTTTTCTAATTATTGATAGGGCTTTCTTTCAAAAGCTTTTGTTTTTGGTAGTGTAGAAAATTAACAATGTAATTATATCATTATTTTCCCCTTTTTAGCTAAATGTGCTAGCCATTTTTATTGCGGTTACCATTGGAAATTTTCAAGTGATATGGGTTTTGTTATTTGCTAAAGCTCTTTCTGATTTTGTAGCACCAGTCTATAAGTTCAGATGAATAATGTTTTCTTTAAGATCCAAGATGATTCATTTGTTTGAAGCTACTTTTAATCATTAATCAGAGAAAACAGTTGGACAGCTGACATTTCAGAATGAGCTTGATGTCATGCATGGCATCCACATGAAAGTCTAGATCTGACTAGGCTATTTAAAAGTAGGACTAGTTTTCAGGGCAATATTTTGGATTTGTAGCATCTTATGGCGTTGGACAAAAGTTCTCATAGCCCAACCTATTCTGTGTTCAGTTTTCTTCTAGACTAAATTTGTTATAACTGATTCTGATGATGTGTGAGTGAATTATCTTTCCATTGTTCCTTTTACTACAAAGTTGTTTTTTGTATTGGTGAAATTGGCATAAGGAAAGCAATTTGATCAGTTTAAACACTTTGTTTATCTCAGATATTGCACGGTATTATAATTTATGAATATTTGCTACATTTTCAAAATATATAATAAAAAAAAATTAACGTTGCTTATTTCCCTTTACTTCCAAACTGTTTAAAATGAAAACAGGTTTGATTTTTAAAAGAATATCTAAAGAAAAATTTATTAAAATTACAACTGAAATTTTTAAAAGAATATATGTTAATTTCACTATGGAAATGAAAGGAGGAAAAAAATAGAAACTTACAAGCTGAACGATAGGGGATAGAGATTTTTCCTTGGATGCTGCTAACACCAATAATATGTCCTCCGCCTTCCTTTATCATGTATGGAAGCACAGCTGAAATAAAAAAAAAAATGTGTGCTATTAAATATTTTTTTATCTGGCCACACATTATTATGCATATATTTAAAAAAAATGTTTACAATACAAATAGGTCATTATATACTGGTTTGCTTAGATAAGTGCCTTCATTTTGGTTACTATCATCACATTTTGTGATCATTCCGTGTCATTTCAACCAATCAATGTAACCAAAAAAATAGATTTTTTTTATTTTGATATATGTTGTAGATCTTAGAGCCATTAGAAAATCCTGAAAATTTTAATTCCTAACCATTCTCAAGATATTGCAAGTTGAAATTTTGCTGAATCAGCGTTTTCCAGTGATGGATATTTCCATTTTCAAACTCAACAATCTCACAAAAACCTTTATATCTTCTGATCCCATTGGCCAGAAAATAATGAAATTTGATAACTTTATAGATTTTTATTCAAGATATTCAAATATCTCTTTAGAATTTTACAGTGATGTGGTTGGTTGGTTGGTTATTTTGTTTTACTGCACATCAAACCTCAGTGAGTCATTTAATGATGACACTGTTTTGAAATAGATGTTAGCATAGTTTGGTAGAACATATACATATATATATATATATATATATATATATATATATATATATATATATATATATATATATATATACACACACATATAAATGAGGTACTATTCGGCCAGTCATATTTTTGAGTACATTCCAATTGTTTTTATAAAATCTAGTATCCTAGATGGTGTTATTTCCATAAAGTTTCTTCAAATTACTTGATGGTAATATTGTTTCCACACTTGATTCAAGTTTATACATTCAAGCAGTATATGTTTAACTGTGAATCTTTTTTGGCATGTAGTGCATATTGGGGATTCTGTTCCCCTCCAGTAAATGATGGGGAGTGATGTAGGTGTGGCATATGTCAAGGCGGGTCAACACAACTTGTTCTCTTCTATTCTTGTATTTTCTGTTCCATTCTCCAATGGTAGGTTTTATGTTTTGTAATTTATTATTAGTGTATTTATCCCAAGGATTTTGCCACTTCTTAAAGATAATTCTATTCACTACTGCTTTATAATTGGTATACGGTATTTTTGTTTTTGCTATTGTATCTTTCATAGCTTTCTTTGTTTCAGAGTCTGCTCGGTCATTTCCCAGTATACCAAGGTGACTTGGGATCCAACAAAAGATTATTTCTTTATCTTTTGATAAATGAAATACTCTGTTAATGTTAGGTACCTATTCTATTGTAATGGACTCTCCCATAGATAATAAGTAGGAGTAGCAGTGGCAAGTCTGGAGAACGGTGTTGAGCGTGTCAGTCGAGATTCGGACATTTGAAGTACCAACCATCACAACTAGATTTGCTGCGTCATTGACTCTTATTTTTCAAGTTCCTAACGTTTTGTACGTCGGACCTAATTTAGGACGACTTATTAGAAATACAAGCCTCCACTGTGAAAATACTCCACAACAGTTAAGTGCTTGTGTGGTTAAATGGTCAGTAATGTCTTTATTTTTTAAGGTAGTAAGTGCAGACAAAGATTCTGTGAAAATAATGAATTTATTGTGGTGGTTTGTGGTTATTATGTCAAGTGCCAAATTTACAGCAGTTATTTTGGCACTTTATATATGGAAACTATGTTTGTAATTCTTTTCTGTTTCTTATGATCTTTTAGTATGGCAGTGCATCCAACTTTATTTTCATCATTTGCTCCATCTGTATATATATATATAAGGGTAGTTATTTTTTATATTGAGTATTTCAGATTGGCATGCTATTGGGTTTGTCTTTAATTTCGGATATTTTGTAAGGTCAAGAATTACTTTAGGTTGATTTATAATCCGGTGGGGGTGTGGAAGATATAATTGATTTGTGAATTTGTGTTGTATCTATCTGGTTTTCTTCTGTGATCTTTTTTATCCGTAAAAAGGTTTGATGGACGTTTCCTTTTGCTGAAAAAGCTCTACGAACTGTGATTGGAAAGTAGTACTGAAAGCTGAATTTAGAGGGCATAATAAGAGTTTTAGGTAATATTGCAAAGCAAGTTTTTCACATCTTAGTTTAAGAGATGGCTCATTTGCCTCTGTATATAGGCTCTCAACCGGTGAGGTGTTATATGCTCCAAGGGCTAGCTGAAGTCCTTGGTGGTGTATGGTATTTAATTCTTTCAAGTATGTTTTCCTGGCTGCTCCATATATAAAGCAGCCATAATCAAGTTTTGATCCAATTAGAGAGTGATACAATTTCAATAATGTTTTTTTACTTCTTACCCAATCAGTGGTTCTGAGTAATTGTATTGTTTTATTACATTTTGTTCTCAAGTATTTAATATAGGGAATGAAGGAGAGTTTGTGTTCAAAAATGACTCCTAGGTATTTGTATTGATATGCAATTGGGATTTTGGTATGGTCAAGTTTCAGTACTGGATCAAGATGGAGTTTACGTTGGTTGCAGAAGTGGACACATTTCGTTTTTTCTTTTGAGAATCTTAGTACATTCTTGGAGTTCCATTTATCGAGTTTATTGGGGCAGATCTGGAGTTGTCTTTCTATATGGTTCATATTTTTGGCTCTATAACATATCAGGAAGTCATCCACAAACAAAGCACAGTCTGCTCCGCTATTTATGTTTTTTACAATATCATTTATTTTGATACTAAATAGTGTGACAGATAATACACTTCCTTGAGGTACACCCATTTCTTGTTCTTTTTCTTCACAGAAGATATTTCCCATCCTAACATTAAATCTTATACCTTGTAGGAAGTTTTTTATAAATATAGGCATTCTACCTTCTAGACCAAGGTTTTTAAGGTCTCTTACTATGCCATACTTCCATGTTGTGTTGCTTTTCGAGATTGAAAAAACTGCCACTAGATGTTCTTTTTTTAATAGAAGCCTCTCTGATAAATGTTTCAAATCAGATGATTTATAGGGCTTCTTCGGCTTCTAAAACCAGACTGATATTACGTTATCAATTTATTGCTTTCAAGGTACCAAATCAATCTGGCATTAATCATTCTCTCTAGTGTTTTGCACAAACAACCGCTAAGAGTAATGGGTCTGTAGTTTTTTGCATTTGTATTGTCTTTTAAAGGTTTAGGTATCAGTATAACTGGTTTGTTTCCATATTTTAGGGATGTCACTGCTTATCCATATATTATTGTAGATTTGTAGGGGATAATTTATTGAGGTTTAGTAGTGACACCAATGCCATTACACATAAACTTTCCATGAATTGCAAAAAAGCTCCATTCAGCATCCAGGCTGAAATCATTTTTATGGAAACATAATTTCAGGAAGTTTTATAGTTTTTGTACTGGTTTGAACACCCATCAGAAAAATATCTTACAGATTTCACTTTTGGAAGATATTTTTTAATATAAGATATTATAAATTTATGAACACAGTAAACATGCCACATCATGATCCTAATCTTCTGATAAAATACTAAAAGACTAACTTGCCAGTTCTGTAGTAGATGTGTGATTTTCTGCAAAGTCAAAAAGGATAATGAACTGTGTTTCTGTAAGGGTTTCTTTTAACTGTTTAAGGTATTCACTCTGTGCTTTAGAAATGAAAGAATGTTTATTGAGGTCAGGAATTTTATTTGTTAGTAACTCTTTATAATCCTTGATGGACATCAAATGAATGACAAGTTTTGCATGATCTGTTGATTCCCACTGTTTGAAGCTGATTTCTTCATTATCAAATATTTTCAATCAGTATTTTAAATAAATTTTAAATGAACTGTGAGAACTTCAATTCTGGAGTAATTACTGCATCTATGCAGCATATATTCAGCATTGTCTGTTCTACAAACAAGTAATTTAATCAAGTCTTTATATGTCTCATCCCACTTGATTACATCAACTAAAAACTTTGCATTTTGGTGATAAATACATACACAGACCTTATGAGATTTAGATGCATCAGCCAAATCATATCACTTTGGTTGCAAAATACAGAATTTAGAAAATTCAATTTGGCGATAAGCATGATGCAATTTAAACTGTTTATAGAGTTCTTTCAAATTTAAAAGTACTAATCTTTTTTGCTTATGAGTGTTCCTTGAAATACTAACATTTTTTTCTCACTTGGCATAAGTCGTGAAAACTGATCATCTTCATAAAAGTTTTTCACTATAATAATGGTCTCCCCAGGTATGAATTTACCTAATTTTGTTTAATGTAAAGCCAAGATACACTGTTCATTTCTTAACACACAATCTTTTCAGACTAAATAATTAGAGATTTCAAAATATTTAGCAATTTTTTCTTTTGACCAAGACTTAGGTGCAATTATTAAAGTCTGTACCTTTTCAGGGTACCTAGCATATTTCAACTTCACTTTCATTGCTTTGGTCAGAGTATCAAGGTCTTTTACAATATTCCTTACTTTTAGAGATACTTGTTCTTTTTTACTTGATGATGAGGAAGATAGATGGTAGGCATCTGTGATTTTGTTTTCACATTTTCTATAACCTTTTCCAGTTTCTTTTTTGTCTTGTTTTTGCATTGGTATAGTGGAACACTCTGCAAATTCAAAAGGTGACTTGTCTAATGATACAAATGTAGTATCAAGTTTTCTCTTTTTTGTGAAGGAGTTAATTTATCATTTAATTCTTGTACAAAGTTACTCTTCATTGATGGAACAGAAGTTTCTTCTGAAGATCCCAAGTCATTGGCTTGATGATAACATTTGCTGCATAAATTCAATCCAGTTAAACCAGTAGCTTCAAACATTTTCACAAGTGACAAAGAGACATGGAGAACACCTAAAGAATAAAAAAAAATTTTCAAAGTATTTTCCTTTTTTTCAAATTGCAAAACATCTTTTTTAGGAATTTTATTTAAAAAATACCAACATAATTTCCTTGAATTAAAATAACTGAAAAAGATTTTCTTTTTTTTTTTGTTGCATTAAGTTTAAGAAATTTAACCATCATACATATTGGTTCCATATATTTTGCTTAACCACAAGCTAAGCATTATCATTTGATAACAT